GTGTCGGCCTCCTCGCCAGCCCTGGACAAGATGGCTCATCAGGATGGGACCGTGCGGCACAGCCTGCAGGCTTTGGAGCCAGGCAAACCTGGGCTGGGAATCCCAGTTCTGCCTCGGCCTCTGTGATCTTGGACAGGCAGCCTCGCCTCCCTGAGACGCCATTTCTCTACAACGGGATCACACTGCCTGCCTCGTGGGATTTTCGTGGGCACTCAGGGTAATTAATCTGGGGAAGGCTGACTCTCTACCTGGCACACAGGGAGGCTGTGGTCATGCTGACCCCACTCACCTTTGCCGGCCTGCCTTCTCCTTCCCTGCCCAGCCTCCTCCCCTCTCCCTCTGTGCTTTTCCAAACCTTCCATGTCCAGTTCTGAGACTCCTGGGCCCTGAGCCTCAGCCCTGGCAGATGACCCCTCACTGTCCTGCTGTGTGAGTGAGCTCCCCCTCCCCAGCCCCTGTCCAGCAGCACCCAGGAGCCTGAGGACAGCCGGGCACCACCCTCTGTGCTGCTGTGGTGGGTGGAGAGGCTCCTGCTCTCCTCCCTCTTGGCAGCTCTGCCCTGCATGGCTCTGGCCTCCACAGTTCTGGTTGATTTGTCAAGGACATTTTTAATCTCCACTGTAAACCCCGGGCCGGGGTGGGTGGGGGTGGCGGGGGGAGAATGATGCTTGGTACAGCACACACCTGTCCGGGTGCACTGGAGCTGGGAGCAAAGGAGGCTCTGAGAGGAGGGCCTGTTCAGCCACAGCAGAAGGACTGACAGGTGAGGGGTCTCTGGGCATGGACTGGGGTATGAACCTGGCAGGGCCAGGCAGGCAGGGCAGAGGGGATGGTAGGGGCAGAAGCCAGCACCTCACTTTGACTTTGCAGACGCCTCCTTCTGGTCCTGGGGTTTTCCTGTCTCTGTGGCCTGAGCGGTTGGGGAGAGAGGAGGGTGCTCCGAGATGGGGAGGGAGAGTCAGAGCCATCCATGGGACTCTGCAGTGAGAGAGTCACAGCCCTGGGCAGAGACTGATTCCAGCAGCGGAAGTGCCAAGCGACCCAGAAGGGTAGGAGCAGCGGCCACAGAAGGGGAAGGGGCTCTGAGCAGGGCTTAGGCTCCAGCCTGTGCCCAGTCTGCTGCTAGACACGGGGGGACACCGAGGAATCCCACCCCCTTCCCACAAAATGACACACACAGGTACACACCCTCAGTGACGGAACCTCAGGGATGAGGGCACACACAGACCTAGTGTGGTAACTTCACACACACACACACACACACACACACACACACACAAGCACAATCCTTCCTCTTGATTTGGTGGGGAGAGCACTGGAAGGGCCTAGAGGCAGCGCGAGGACGTGCAGCAGCTCACCCGGGTCCCTCCCTCTATCTGCTTCCCCAGGGGCCTGATGGAGGAGTTGGTGGGGCTGCGTGAGGGCTCCTCAGGGGACCCTGTGACTCTGCAGGAGCTGTGGGGCCCGTGTCCCCGCATCCGCCGAGGCGTCCGAGGTGAGAGCCAGGTCCTCTTCCCTTCCCCTTGGAGGACCACTCAGGACATCACTCCTACCCGGCTCCCACCGCACCTCCCTGCCCAGAAGCCACCCTCCTCCTGGCATTTGTCCAGGACCTCACTGCCCAAAGTCTCCTGGGAGGCAGGGAGAGAAGGGGTCTGTCTGTCCCACTGTCTGTGGGTCAGATGGGCCCGGCATCTGCCGTCTGCCTTTCAGGAGATATAGCCCAAGGCCTGGTCACTGTGTCCATCCTCCACCCAGGCCTCTCCCTCACCTACCTGTGCCAGTGAGGGGACGTGGGGGGTTGCTGGGACAGCTGGGGCCACAGCAAGGGGCTGGGGCAATCTGCACTTGGCACCTTTCCTTGGAACCCCATGTGCCTTGTTCACTTTGAAACCTGACTGTCCCCTCAGCTACAGGGCAGAGCAAGTAGGGACTGCAGAAGGAGACTAAGTGCAGCCTCAGGGGCTGGTGCCCACAGCCAGTCAGGGCCAGCTCCCAGGCTGGGCTGGTAGCCAGCTGGCCAGGGGCATTGCTGTGGACCCAGAGGATACCTGTGCCACAGGCCCTGGGACACGCAGGAGTCTGCTAGACCCTGGTGCTCTCTCAGCTACGGACTCTGTGGGGATACAGGTGAAAGCTGTAGCTGCCAGCCTCCTCCACACTCCCTGTCCCCCAGGAACCTCCCAGTACAGGCAGGGATGCAGAGGGTGGACAGGTCAAAGGCCTTCCGGCAGGAGCAGCAGGTCTGGCACCCACTGTGCCACCACTGTCACCCACCGCAAATTCTGCCCAGCCCCCAGTGTGAGGCAGGGTCCTTCAGGACTACCCCAGATTCTACTACCAGGGTCCTCCTTGCCTGGAGCCAAGCAGACCTCCAGGAAAGGGACTGTCTGTGCCCCTGCCCCACTCCAGGTGGCCTGGAGTGGCTGAAGCAGAAGCTGTTCCACCTGGGCGAGGACTGGTACTTCCTGATGACCCTCGGGGTGCTCATGGCCCTGGTCAGCTTTGCCATGAACTTTGCCATTGGGCGTGTGGTCCGAGGTAACTCTTCCCTGGCAGGTGCTGCTCTGGGCCAAGGGATTCTAAGCACGCTCTGGGGATGCCAGATGGGCCGCCAGGTGCAGTGGTGCAGGGAGAGATCTGGGTGCGGGGAGGGCTCTGGCTCCACTCCTGACTTGTTGTGTGATCCTAGGCAGGCTCCTGCCCCTCTCTGGGCCTCAGCCATCTCATTTGAACAAGGGAGAGAGGCCTGAATGTTCCCAAGAGCCCTTCTTCCTCTGACCTCTCTGCCTCCTCTTCCAGCCACTCCGTTCCTTCTCCTTCCCTCCTCCATGCCTGGGGCAGGAATGGGGACACGTGCCTAGATCACCAAACTTGGAGCCTTCCCCCTGCTCCCTCAACAGCCTGCCTCCACCCTGAGGCCTCCCTGGAAGAGGGGGTGTGAGGCAGGAAGGGTCTAAGGCACTTTCTCTGGAGACCCTCAGCTGCCAGAAGCAGGACCTACTACACCTACAAGCAGGTGTTTGGCGCTCCACACCTGTGTCATTTAGTTCTCAGTGGCCCTCTGTAGTCTTCAATGAGCCTGTGAGGGACAGCCCATCACTAGCCCACTTGACAGATGGGGAAACTGAGGCTCAGAGAGGCTGAGTGACTTGCCCACGGTCACTCAGCTAGGCAGTAGAAACCTGGGATATGGACCCAGGGTCATACTCCTGCCTCTTCTTGGGGCTCTTCCCCTCACTGGGTGGCCTGGTTCTTCCTTCTTTGTGACTCCATTTCTGGTCAGTAAGTGGGCACCACAGTGTCTAGCCCCGAGGGCTGCAGAGGCTATGGGTGGCTCCTGATACACAGCTGTCCCCAGCGCATGAGTGGCTGTACGGAGAGATTGGGGACAGTCACCTGCTCCGGTATCTCTCCTGGACTGTGTACCCTGTGGCCCTCATCTCTTTCTCCTCGGGCTTCTCCCAGAGCATCACACCCTCCTCTGGAGGTGAGTCCACGGACGCCACACCAGTCCCCACTGGCCAAAACCTTCTCAGATCCCAGGGGGCTTCTGATAGGGGGAATCGGGAAGTGGCAGCCTCATTTCACGGACGAAAGCCCAGAAGAGTTAAGTGGCTTGCCTGAAGGCACACAGCAAGAAGGCCAGATCTTGACTCTTAGGTCACTGCTGGCCCTACTGGCTTTCCAAGGGCTTCTTGGAAAGAGATTCCACTGTGGGACCTGCGCTGGTGCCAGGAAGGGGCCCATGGAGGAGGCACAGCTCCCCCAGGCACTCAGCCCTGCCTCCAGCTCCGGGCCAGCAGAGGGGAACTCCAGACTCACTCAGTGGTGGCCTGAGGTTCTGTTTGGGGCTCCCCCACCCTGACACGGCCATCTGCCAGGCCCGGTGGGAGGAACATGGACAACTCGCATTCTCTCTCTGACTTTAGCATCCAAATCTGCAAAATGAGTTTATGCATCCTAACCTCTGAGGGTTCTGTGTGATCAAAATAGGGCCAGGTGCAGTAACAGTCTATAATCCCAGCACTTCGGGAGGTGGGTGGATCACTTGATCCCAGGTGTTTAAGACCAAGCTGGACAACATGGTGAAACCCCATCTCTAAAAAAAATGAAAAAAAAAAAAAAAACCCCACCACAACAAAAAGTTAGCCAGGTGTGGTGGTGCCTGCCTCTAGTCCCAGCTACTTGGGAGGCTAAGGTGGGAGGATCACTTTTGAGCCGGAGGAGGTCAGGGCTATAATGAGCCAAGTCAAACCACTGCATTCCAGCCTGGACAACAGAGTGATACCCTGTCTCAAAGGAAAAAAAAAAACCTAATGTGAAAACACCGTGCGGGTAGAGTGTTGAGAGTTTTTTGTTTGTTTGTTTGTTTGTTCGTTTTTGAGATGGAGTTTTGCTCTTGTTGCCCAGGCTGGAGTGCAATGGCACGATCTCGACTCACTGCAACCTCCGCCTCCCAAGTTCAAGTGATTGTCCTGCCTCAGCCTCCCGAGTAGCTGGGATTACAGGCACCCGCCACCATGCCTGGCTAATTTTTTGTATCTTTAGTAGAGATGGGGTTTCACCACGTTGGCAAGACTGGTCTCAAACTCCTGACCTCATGATCTGCCCGCCTTGGCTTCCCAAAGTGCTGGGATTACAGGTGTGAGCCACTGCGCCCGGCTGAGAGTTTTAATCTAGAGATTGTCCCCTTCTTGTTCCTGTCCTCTCTGGCTAAGGTTCTGGAATCCCAGAGCTGAAGACCATGTTGGCGGGTGTGATCTTGGAGGACTACCTGGATATCAAGAACTTTGGGGCCAAGGTGGTGGGCCTCTCCTGCACACTGGCCACCGGCAGCACCCTCTTCCTGGGCAAAGTGGTATGGGCAGGGGTGAGGGCACCCCAGCCACCCCACCCATCCAACCCTGCCCCAGCCTGTCCCCCATCACCCTACCAAAGCTGAATCAGAGCAGACTCAGGCCAGTGCCTGCCTTCAGGGAGCTTAGTCTTAGGGGAAGAGCCAGGACAGGTCCCCAGAGTGTGACAAAAGCCATCTGAGGACAGCCCTGGGGGTTGGAGAGAGGGAGGAGGGGGTGTGGTGGGGAAGCCGTGCTGCCTCTGGGGAAGGCTGTCTGTGCTGCCCTGACCTGGGCCCTGGGCCCACCCTTCCCTCTGCAGGGCCCTTTCGTGCACCTGTCTGTGATGATGGCTGCCTACCTGGGCCGTGTGCGCACCACGACCGTCGGGGAGCCTGAGGTTAGGGACTCGGGGGCTTCCTTGGAGGACTGGGAGTGGGGAAGGAGGGGGCTAACGCTGAGCCCCGGACTCGGATCCCCCAGAACAAGAACAAGCAAAACGAAATGCTGGTGGCGGCGGCGGCAGTGGGCGTGGCCACAGTCTTTGGAGCTCCATTCAGCGGTGAGACCCCCTCATGCCCCGCCCCCTGGGTCCCTCAAGCTCCTCCCCTCACTCCCTGGGTTCCCTCGGCCCCTCTGAGAGCCTGGAGGAGGGGGTGGGTCTCATTCTAGTTCTTACTTCGGCCCCGCCTTGGGTATAGCCACCCCCGGAGGGGGGGGGGGGGGGGGGGGGGGGGGGGGGCGTGGTTGGGCGGTGCTGAGAGGCTTCAGGGTAACATTACATAGTCTTGGGTTTGAAATCCACTGGCCCCTTGGCCTCTCTGAGCCCAGCTTCTTCCTCTGTAAAATGGGGATCAAACCGTTCCCACCCGATAGTGAGAGGATGCACACCCGCATTCCAGGTTGGACGGGTCTCTGGGCAGTGGGCTCCTCCCTGCCCAGAGTGCATGCCCTGCCCTCCCCTCCTGTCTGTCCCTGTCCGGGCTGTAGCAGAGCAGGACAGACCGGTCAGGGAGGAGGTGACATGGGGAGGGGGCCCTACAGCCACAGGTGGGTGGGGGTGGGGGGCCCACCTGAGATCAGCGTCGCCCCCAGGCGTCCTGTTCAGCATCGAGGTCATGTCTTCCCACTTCTCTGTCTGGGATTACTGGAGGGGCTTCTTTGCGGCCACCTGCGGGGCCTTCATGTTCCGGCTCCTGGCGGTCTTCAATAGCGAGCAGGGTGAGCCCCCTGGGCTGCCTGACCCTGGCCCTGCCTGGGGGCTGGGGCGAGGGGCCCTCCCTTCTCCCCTGTGTACACCCTTTGCTCGCCTCTTTCCTCTCTCTCCCTCTTTTTCCTCCTCCCTGTTCCCACCTCTTTGGGAGGATGGAAGGGGCTGACCTGTGCTGAACATGAAGGGCAGGAGCCCTGAGGGTAGAAGGGATGAGGCTGGGCAGGGAGGCAGGAGCTTGGTTGTGGGGGCCTGGAATGCCAGGACACACATTCCGGGTCAGGACCTGGCACCCCCTCCACCCTCGGCTGTTAGTCTGGGACTTGTGTTCGGGTGGGGTGGGAGCGCCATCTCGACTCCCCACTGCTCTTCTTCCCCAGAGACCATCACCTCCCTCTACAAGACCAGTTTCCGGGTGGACGTTCCCTTCGACCTGCCAGAGATCTTCTTTTTTGTGGCACTGGGGTGAGTGGGTGCCTTGGGCCCCTGAGAGTCCAACAAGGCATTCCCTCCAGGCCTGGACTGCAGCCCCTGGCACTGGGGTCAGGCTCTGGACTCCTATCTCCATGCTCCTCAGGGGTCTCTGTGGCATCCTGAGCTGCGCTTACCTCTTCTGTCAGCGAATCTTCTTTGGCTTCATCAAGAACAATCGGTTCAGCTCCAAACTGCTGGCCACCAGGTAGGCTCCAGGCTAGGGGCTGGGGACCTCTCAGCAAGCACCTCCCTCACCCGTACTCCCAACCTTATGTAGAAAGCTCCACCACTTGAGCCCCTAAAGCCCGTCCTAGCCCACGCCCCACATGTGGAGCCCCTGACACCTCCTACAAGTCCCCACAGTCACTGCCCCCCTACTTTACTGGTCTCAAACCTCCCCATTTAATCCCCATATCTCCTTGAGTCTTTACCCCCTCAGTGAATCCCAAACCCCTCACTGACCTTTAACCCCTTCTTGGTCCCTCTCTCCCTTTAAACCGTGTGTGCCCGTGGCATTGGCTAAGCCCTCCTGCCCCAGGTGCATGAGCCCTGCCCGAGTCTGGCCCCACTCTGTCCTCCCTCCCAGCGTGCCTGTGCCCCAATTCTCCTATCAGCCTCTACCCCTAAAAATGCCCAGGAGTGTGGGGCTGACCCCACAGCTGCTGTCTCCTGGAGCTGGCCCAGTTCGTGTCCCCCATTCCTGCTCTTCCTCCTCCCCGGTCCTTGCCTCGACGTCCTGCCTTCGCGAGACCCTGCTTCCCTCTCCTGGGGATGTGGGAAAGAGAGGGCCAGCCCTAGAGCCTGCCTACCCCCACAGCAAGCCTGTGTACTCCGCCCTGGCCACCTTGGTTCTCGCCTCCATCACCTACCCGCCCGGTGTGGGCCGCTTCCTAGCTTCTCGGGTAAGGGGCCCTAAGTGGGGTGGCAGGAGTGGGGAAGTCCTATTTGTTGCCCCCTTTGCGTGTATCTCACTTAATCCCCCCAATACCCCATAATGGAGATGCCTAGGCATTATTTTATAGATGATATTACAGCTCTGGGAGATCAGAGCCCTGCCCAAGGCCCCCTGCTGGGAAGTGGCAGAGGAGGATTCCAGGCGGGGTTAGGCAGTGCAGGGGCGGCTGGGGTCTGCCACTCGGGGCCCCTCATGTCCAGTTCCCACCTGCCCTGCCACAGCTGTCCATGAAGCAGCATCTGGACTCGCTGTTCGACAACCATGCCTGGGGGCTGATGACCCGGAACTCCAGCCCACCCTGGCCTGAAGAGCTTGACCCCCAGCACCTGTGGTGGGAATGGTACCACCCGCAGTTCACCATCTTTGGGACCCTTGCATTCTTCCTGGTTATGAAGGTGGGCCTCCGGTCCCAGGTGTGCACAGAGCCAGGACCAGCTCTGGTGGGGAGGGGATGCCTCCTCGCAGCTGGTGGCATGGAGCCCAGGCCTTCCACCCACACTTCCTGATGTGCTCCCTGCCCACTGCATGGTCCTGGACAAGTGACTTCAGCTCTCTGGGCCTCAATCTTCTCATCTTTAAAATGGGGTGGTTACTGGGAAGACTGAGGAGGAAGAAAGGAATGTACCTGGCACAGTGCCAGGCATAGAGTGGGCATTTCTCAGGGTGAGGACCCTCCCCTAATGCCAGATTCTGGTAATGGGTGCATGGCCAGCACCCTCTTTCTCTCTAGGACACTCCCCTGTCCCCTGCCCTGTCCTCCCCAGTCAACGCCTTGCCTAGCGGCCTCTAACCTCTGCCCCGGGCTCCCCACTTCCACAGTTCTGGATGCTGATTCTGGCCACTACCATCCCCATCCCTGCCGGGTACTTCATGCCCATCTTCATCTATGGTGAGTCTGGAGTCCTGAGGGTCTGATAATTTCGGGGTTCTTGGGGCAGGGCTGTGGCTCCTGGTTCACCCTGCCCAGGTAGTACTGAGGATGGTCCTCAGGGATGGAGCGTTGTGGGGGCCGGGTCAGCCTGGCTCCCCCTCACCCTAAGTCTGTGGCCAGGAGCTGCCATCGGGCGCCTCTTTGGGGAGACTCTCTCTTTCATCTTCCCTGAGGGCATCGTGGCTGGAGGGATTACCAATCCCATCATGCCTGGGGGCTATGCCCTGGCAGGTGAGTGAGTCAGGGTCCTGCTGGGTGGGCAGCATCGTGGGGCTGGGTTGGACCTGGAGAATTGGCCGGTGGCTCCACAGGGCACAGAGCCGTCACTGAGCCTCCCAGTGAGCCCCTCACCCCTCATGGGGGTCTGTCCCTCCTAAGTCCCACCATTCCCCGGGGCCCATCACTCCCTCTTGGTTCCTGTCCTGTCCCCAGCCCCGTGGTCTCCCTTATTCCTCTGCTCTCACCAAGCCCAGGCACTGGGCACTTCCCACAGTGCCCAGGCTGTAACCTCTTACAAATCACACTTAGCCCCTGGTCGCAGCTATGCCAGTTTTGCCCTCACATGAGGCTGGCCCCTGGCCTCAGCTGCCCTGCCTGACTCTGCCCTTGCAGGGGCTGCAGCCTTCTCAGGGGCTGTGACCCACACCATCTCCACGGCGCTGCTGGCCTTTGAGCTGACCGGCCAGATAGTGCATGCACTGCCCGTGCTGATGGCAGTGTTGGCAGCCAACGCCATTGCACAGAGCTGCCAGCCCTCCTTCTACGATGGCACCATCATTGTCAAGAAGCTGCCATACCTGCCACGCATTCTAGGCCGCAACATCGGGTGAGCAGTGCCCACCTCAGGCTGGCTGAAGGGAGTCATAGTGTCCAGGTAGGGCTGGGAGTGGAGGGCACCTCCAAAAATAAATGCCACCGCAGCAGACCTTGGACATGGGGGCTGGGAGGGGCTGACACACAGCCGTGCTCTGGTCTCCATTCTCCCCAGTGCCCCGGGTGACCTTGGACAAGTTGTTGGCCTTGAGGCCTCAGTGTCTGTCTAGGGGCCAGCAGGGCTCCACAGCAGGAGATGAGTATTGCCCCGTGTACAGGTTGAGGAAACCGGGGCTCAGAGAGATGCCGTGTCTTGCTCCAGCACCAGATCTGGGTCTCCTCCCCTCTCTTCACTTCTGCAGCCTTCACTGGAACTTTGGGAGCAGGAGGTGGAACGAGAATGGAAATGGGCTTTGAGGTCTTCACTCAACCAGATAGGACCAGAGCAGCTTCTGGTGCCAGAGAAGCAGACCAAGGAGGCTCTTAGAGTCCCTGGGTCCGAGGCCCTGCTCCAAATACAAGCAAGCTGCTGCCTTGCTCTGAACCTGTTTCCCCATCTGGAAAACGGGGCTGCTTACCCCAGTGGTTTCCTGACTTTCAAGTTTTTCCCTGGTGGAGGCATACACTTTTTTTTTTTTTCCTTTTTCTTTTTTTAGGTGGAATCTTTCTCACTCTGTTACGTAAGCTGGAGGGCAGTGGCACAATCTCAGTCACTGAACCCTCCACCTCCCAGGTTCAAGCAATTCTCCTGCCTCAACCTCCCAAGTAGCTCAGACTAGGCATGTGCCACCATGCCCAGATTATTTCTGTAATTTTAGTGGAGATGGGGTTTCACCATGTTGGCCAGGCTGGTCTCGAATTCCTGGCCTCAAGTGATCCACCTTGTTTGGCCTCCCAAAGTGCTGGGATTACAGGCGTGAGCCACCGTGCCCATCTGCATACACTTTTTATTCAAATTAAATTTTCCAGGGAAGGCCGCTGGGTAAAACAGGACAAAGTGGAGCTGGTCTGGGGGACATGGGGGTCCAGGGGGCTGGGAATTAGGAACTGGGTCATCGGTGACGTGGTCCCCAGGTTTCCTCCCACCGTGGATTCCAGGAGTCCCTCATTCCATGAACCTCTCCGGCCCTGTCCACACTCCAGAGCCGTGGGTCCCCAGTTCAAGCAAAGCTCCCCCCAGATCCTCCTGCCGGCCTGGGTCTCACATCCCCGACTCTGGGACCTGATGGGAGCCCCTCTGCCTGCAGCTCCCACCGCGTGAGGGTGGAGCACTTCATGAACCACAGCATCACCACACTGGCCAAGGACACGCCACTGGAGGAGGTGGTCAAGGTCGTGACCTCCACAGACGTGGCCGAGTATCCCCTGGTGGAGAGCACAGGTGCCAGCCGGAAGGGAGGAGGAAGAAGGGGGTGGGGGATGCCCTCTGCCTCCTTCTTGGACCTGTCAGGCAGACAGGATCTGCATCCAGGCTCTGTGACTTAGCAACCAACCGTGTGACCTTGGGCAAGTCACTTCACCTGAACCTCAGTTTCCTCATCAGTAAAATGGAAATCATGGCCACCCTCCCCTGGGGTGGTTGACATGTCTAAAGAGAGTCGGCTGGGTGCTTGTAAGGCAGTTCCTGGGTAGCTGCTGGGGTAGGAGCATGGGGACACCACCAGGGTCTTCTGGAAGCTTCCCTACAGGCCTCCCTTTAAGCATTCCCCAAATGAGACCCCTCCCCCAAATCCCTGTTGCCATAAGGTAAACATCTCCTTAAAGACAAAAGCATGGTGGCCCTTGTTAAAAGGCATGGCACCCGCTTCTTGCGGAAACCTTAACTAGCGCATCATTTCCTGTGGGTACAACTCCAGTATCTGCATTCAGAAGATAAGGCGGGGTTGGGGGGTAACCCTGCTCATTCAAGTCTGCTGTCAGCCCATGTGTCCCCCTGTGCAAATGAGATAAGGTGCACACCTGGCAAGCACATCACAGCTGGATTTTGGTCTCCACTTGCACTTTGGGTAGGCACCTTGTGCAGTGAGCAACCTGTACAATAGGGTCACCCCTATGCCCACCCCAAGAGGGATAAAGCCATTTATGAGCTAAATAACTGTGAGTATACCACTTAAGCTCTATGTACTGCATTTTCATCATCTTGAAAGTAGGGATCAAGAGACATTCTCACTCCAAATGCTAGGCCCTTCTTTCCCCACTAATTGGAAGACTGTTAGCATTATGCTGTGGAACATGCCAAATATCTCATCTGAAAATGTTTGCTTTCGGATGAGCCCCCCAAGAGTCTTCACCTCCTGGAGCAAAGAAAGAATTAGCCTTGAAGACAAAGTCCTCTTTTACCCTTAGAGCCATAGCAAAGTGCTCCAACCAACACAGGCCCAGGCTGTGGGACCCCACTGCTTACCCAAGAAATAGCCTTCATTGTTCATTTAAAAGGGAAGGGGGACATTTACATGTCTAAGTGTCAAGTTTTTATTCCACTCAACAGAAAGCAAAAACACCAAGCTGGGCCCTCAAAACTAAATATCTGACAATGCCATTGATACCCCAGGGCCAGAGTGAAGCTTGCCAAGGCCCCAGCACACAGTAGGACCTCAGAACACAGGGTCCTCCTGGGTTCGCACCTTCACTGGGCTGCACCAGATGTGAAGCCTCTTGGGAAACGAAGGAGAAAGCCCAGCCCTGACACACAGACTTCATCGTGCTGGCGTCCCCAGCTTGCTCCTGTCTTGAGACCTTGCAATGTGGGGGATCTCAGTGGTGGCCAGGGTCCCTCCTGGTCCCCTGGTAGCCTCACTCAGCCACCTGCAGCTACCACACCTGAATGACCTGGGGCAAGACAATTAGCCTGTCTGTCTCTGAGCCTCAGTTCCTGTCCTTTATAATGGGAGACAATAGTTACAACAGCCCCATAGGAACACCAGCACAGTTCTTGGCTAAGTAGGTGCTCAGTAAATGTGAGTTCCTGTTTCCTCCTAATGCGCCTCCCTCCCTCTCCCTCTCCACTTGCCAGAGTCCCAGATCCTGGTGGGCATCGTGCGAAGGGCCCAGCTGGTGCAGGCCCTCCAGGCTGAGCCTCTTTCCTGGGCTCCAGGACACCAGGTGGGTACTCCTGAGGGGCGTGGGGATGGGGTGGGGGTCGGTCAGCAGGGCTGGGACAGGAGGCGCCTGCTGATCTCCTGAGGGAGAGGTGGTCTGAGAGAGGCATCCTGGAGAGGCCGGCCCTGCACCTGTAACCCTTCCCCTGTAACCCTTCCCCACCCCCAGCAGTGTCTCCAGGACATCTTGGCTGGGGGCTGCCCCACCGAACCAGTGACCCTGAAGCTGTCCCCGGAGACTTCCCTGCATGAGGTAACAGGGAGAATTGAGGAGTGTGACATATGAGGCCCCTGGGTGGGGAAAGAGCTGATGAGGAGCTCAGGCTTCAGCCTCCCCTCCCAACCCGCGCCCCCACCCGTCTTATGTTGCTTCCTTCCCCTCCTGGGCCTGTGTCCTCATCAGCAGACTGGGCAAAGCAGCTCCTGCCCTGTCGCCCCTCACTGCCAGGGTTGCGGGGATGATGCAGAGAGATGAGGGAAGTGGGAGAGTGGCAAATGTTTAAGTATCTGGGTGGAAAGACAGTGGAGTTGAACCAGCGCACACGTGCACTTCAGTTTCAGGTCCACCACATTCTCCCTGTGTGATCTTGCACAAAAGACTTAGCCACTCAGGACAGAGCCTGGCACATGGGCGGGGAAGGGGCAGAGGCCCACAGGAAACCTGGAGATGGCCCTGCCCCCTCTGTGCTGCTGGAGGGTGCTGGATATTGGGTCCTGTCCACCTGTGGTCTCGCCAAGACCCTTGAATGGACTCTGGCATCCCCCAGTGGCCACACTGGACATTGCAGGCCTGGATCTCTTGCCTCCCACACACATCAGGTCCGGCCCCTCTTCCTGGCTCAGAGGCGTGGCAGAGTGGGCCAGAGGGTGGGCTGGGCGCCTTCTACCCTCCAGTGTTTCCTAACAATCCCCCATCCAGGCACACAACCTCTTTGAGCTGTTGAACCTTCAGTCCCTCTTTGTGACATCGCAGGGCAGAGCTGTGGGCTGCGTGTCCTGGGTGGAGGTACCAGGGTCCCAGGGGCAGAGCAAAGCAGGGGACCCATGCCTGAGAAGCCTGGGGAGGTGGGGGGGACACCGGCATGCTCCCATCCAAACCTGGGGGGATTCAGAGGATACTGATGAGTCCCTCTTCCTGGCCCAGATTGGCCACTGGGCCTGGCTCCCCTATCTTGTTTCCTGGCCAGTGGCCAGCCTGCCCTTCTCTGCCTCAGTGATCCCATCTGTGCAATGGGGTGGCATGGGCTCTACTATTCACCCAGAAACCACCCTTAGGGGACTAAAAATGCTGGTGCTGTCCTGTCAACCTCCTCTACATCCCCCCTGCAGCCCCCTCCCCCTTTCTCTGTTCTAGATGAAGAAAGCAATTTCCAGCCTGACAAATCCACCAGCCCCAAAGTGAGCCAGTCCAGCAAGATGAAACAGGGCACCCCAGCTGCCTGGTACTGAGGTTGGGCTGAGACCCTGCCTCTCTTCCCCCGTCACCCCTTACCCCCACTCCAACCCAGCTCCATTCCTTGGCATAACAGACAACTCTAACCTAGCCGGAAAGAAGATGGCTCATCCTGGGTGTGATGATGGCTCCTGCCTTGAAAGACAAATCCCACCTTGGACAGAGCTGAGTGTGAGATGACAGAAAACCAGTGTCTGCCAGGTGCTCAGTGACTGGCCATCACATTAATGGATGACGGGATTGGAGTACGCTGTCACCAAGGGCCGGAGCAGATGCCCTCTGGGGTTGTCTGATTCCCAATGAGAGGCTCCAGAGAAAAATAAAGCTGGTTCCCAGAGCCACTGTCCATCCCTCATCTCAGCTGCAAGGTTGCTGGCCTGGGACTAGAGCTCCTCACCTGTGCTGGCCCAGAGTGAGTTTCCCGTGGTCACGTGGACACTGCAGGCTCGGGCCCCTGGGCTCCCCTCCTCATGCTCCACTTCTTGGCAGGTGGATGGTAGGGAGAGAGGGTCTCTCACCAGGTCTATGATGCTTGCCCTCATGGATAAGCAGGACCCTGTGTCGTTTAAGCCCTAGTCTCCTGCTTGGCTGAGCCACAGTTCAAAAAGCTGGGTCCCCAAGTGTAGCTCCCTGGGGAGTCCACAGAGACTTGGGCATCCTCCATGGGCCCTCTCTGGCTAGGTGGGAGCAGGTTGACCAGCTGTGTGAGCGTTGGCAGTAGGGACCTTCCCCGACTCCCTCTGGACTTCGTCCAGGGGCCCAAGGTCACATCCTCCCAACAGAGACCAGGCCAAGGTCATCGAGAGTGAATCGACCACTTTAATGTCCTCAGAGAACCTTGAGTGAGATGGGAGGGAGCTGTAAGGAGTGAGAGTGGGCTCCCGGGGGCGAGGAGCAGGGGACACCGAGGAAGCAGGTTCAGAGAGGGAGGGACAGACAGACAGACACTCCAGAGAGACAGATGTCCTGGTGAGGACAGCTGGGGAGCAGGTGCTTAGCTACCAGAAGTGGCCACCCCACCTTTGCTGGGGGGCAGACATACAGAGAGAGTGGGGAGGGACTGAGCCCCAGGTACAGGCAGGGTTCCCAGACCCCACTCTAAGTGGGTCTCAGTTATCTCCATGGCTGCCCTCCTGGGGGCCTGGCTGTTGCTCCTCTGGGCCAGGCTGCCCTGGTTTCTCTGAGAGTCCTTGAGTTCCCTGAGGGCAGACACCCTGCAGGGGAAGGTGCCCACCTGAGTGAAGTAATGAAGGGGGAGGGGTTATGGCTGCCACTGCTGGGGCAGGTCCGCTGAGGCACAGAGAGGCCATGATGAGCGCAGGCCCCATCCCTGCCACACCTACCCTGTGCCTACCCGAGGGGTCAAGAGATGCCCTGCCCTGGACCCCGGGATCCAGATACGCCTGGACTGCCCACCAGGCAAGGTCATGGTGTGAGCAGGTGCTGGACCAGCATAGCCTCCGCCTCAGTTATAGAACACCTCATCCTCCTCCCAGAGGGAACCGCTGTCCACGGAGGGGAGGGAGCCCGGTAGGTGCGTCCCACCCTTGGGTCCTTGGTGCCTGGGCTGCCGCCGCCGATGCTGCAGCTCTGGGCTGGGGGGCTGCGGGATGCCAGCGGTGCTGGGGGTCTCCTCCAGTGAGGGACAGCTGTCAGGGGTGAGGCTGGGCGAGGAGAAGGCCTGAAGGCTGTCATCCTGCGAGGGGCCACTGGGAAGGCTGTCCTGAAGGTAGATGCTCTCCAGATCTGGAAAAGCAACGGGCTGACAGGGGAATGGCGTCCCGAATCCGGCTCTTCGCCCTCTCTGGGGGTGTGAGAAAGGTCAAGGGGCAGAAGACCTGCCTCCAAATCCAGCTGTGTGACTGGTGAGCGTTGTTACCTTGGTCAAATCACCAAAACCCTCTGAGCCCCAGGTTCCTCCTCGAGGCAGTAAACGGAGGAGTCAAGAGTGGGCTTGGTGCCAGCCTGTGCTCTCTGAGAACTGGGACAACCAGTGCTCCCCTGGGCCTCTGTCCCCTCCCCGTCCCTCTCCATCTGTCAGGGAGGATTAAGCGCAGGTTTCCCCCAGGGCCAAGGCTCCTTGAAGCCCTCAATAGTAACCTGGGCTTCTAGAAAGACGGTTGCTTGTGTCTGGTGCTAAGTTTCAGATCCGGCTCTGACGCTTCTAACTGTGTCATTTGGAGTAAGTTTCTGAATCTCTGAGTGCCTCTGTTTCCTTATTTGTAAAATGGGGACAACAGGACCCCCCTCCCTAGGGCTGCTGTGAGGATTCCGTGAGATGCCTCATGCACAGCCCTCAGTGCGGTAAGCACTCGATTCCCGCCCCCACTGTGCTCATTCTCTCCTTCCTGCTCCTGGCACTGCTGGGCAATGGGCAGGGCAAGGATCACTGCTGCATTTTACAGATGAAGAAACTTAGGCTGAGAAAAGGAAGGGGCTTGGCCGAGGCCACACTGCATTTGGTGGTGGGCAGGCATCCACCCTCAGCTCCGCTCTGCCCACCCCCACCGCCGGACCTCCTGGGCTGTACCTTGGAGCTGGACGATGCCCTGGGGGCTGTTCTCGGGGTGCAGTTCCTCGTCGTCCAGCGAGGACCAAGCGCTCAGTGTGGCCTCTGTGATGGCAAACTGCTCAGCGACCCCTGGGGGGACAGCGAGATCTGGCTCAGTGGGGGATGGGTGGGGACAGCCTCAGTGCCCCATGGAGCTGCTCCAGAACAGGCCGGAGGGTGGCCGCCTCTCAGCGCTGCCCATCCACGCCCCAGTGGTCCAGAATGCTCACTTAACAGCCCCCCACTCTATGCCATTATTTTTTCCTGCCCAGACGATGCCCATGCAGTGATCTGGGCCCCTCAATGTCCCAGCTTCATCCCCACAGAGCCCTGGCCAGTCCCCCTCCTCACTGACCTGCAGCAAAGCGGGCCTCACGCAGCTCATCCGGGAGGCAGCAGTAACGCTCGTCCTCAGCTGGGGACAGCTCCCAGCCTGCCCGCTGGGCACTCCAGCCCTTCCACTCGATGAGGTGGGCCACGCGGCCTCGGGCCATGGCCGTGGGCTTTGTGATGTGGTCCTTGATGCTCTGCACCACCCCTGGGGCATGGAGGGCATCTGGGCGACTGTCCTGACACAAGACCCAGCCCAGGGCCTGGCCTCCATGCCTCAGGCCCACCTGGTGGCCTGTACCCCACATTCCCTCAGTGTGCCACGGTCTCCATCAGTGTCCCACACCCCCCCAAGGGCCTATACCCATCTAATTCCTCATGCCCTCCAAAGCCTCCTTCTCCTGCCCTGAGCCCTCTGAGCTCTGCGGCCCCCTCCCCTCAATGCCCCCACCCACTGGCGTCCACATTTCCTCCCAGCATCCTACTCCTAGTCCATGTTCCCACCCACTGGGTGCTTCTTCCCCAGATCGCCCACACCCTCACTCCCTTTCTGACTAAGTTCAGACCCTTCCGCCCAAGGAGATCCACCCGAGGACCACTCATGAG